AGGGCAGAGCAGGGCTGACGGCACTGGGCAGAGAGCGGGGCTGAGGGAGCACTGGGCAGAGCGCAGGGTAGGGCTGACGGAGCACAGGTGCCGCCACCTCTGTCCAGCCACATGGGTGGCACTCAGGAAACTAGGTGAGACCTCTCGCGTGAGGAAGCAAAGCAGTGGGGCACGCTCACCAGTGGACTCTGACCTGGGCTGCCCTGTCCTCTAGGCCACAGGTACCAGAAGGGACAGAGACCCTGGAAAGGCAGGACCATCAGAGGGATGGAAAGGGGCTGGTGGGACGGTCTGGGCTGACTTGGGAGGTGGGCTGTGTTCCACCAGGTAGTCTGCCTACACCTGCGGGCCTACATGTGACAATCAAAACCTGTGTGCTCCGAAAACCTCAAACTCCAAGCCCTTGAAATCCATCTGCTGGGGTGGGTCCCGGGTGGTTCTGGAGTCAGCCTGTGGGGACTCCGTTCTAGAAAAGAGATTGTCCCCACGTCTCCCCCGAGTGATATAATGAGCCATTACAAAAACTGCTCCTGGGGGCAGTTTCTACAGCCTGGCTGCCCGGGGCCTGGCTTCATGTAACTGTGATCCTGAGTTAAGCCCACCTCACAAGCAGGCCTTGTGACCTCACAGTTGTCAGTCTGTCCCCCACTGTGGCACGAGTTCCCCAAGGACACGGACAGTGCTGCACAGACCTCTCTGAGCCCCAGTTCTCGCCCGTTGGCCCAGGGTTGGGGCTTGGTGCCCTCACTCCCCTTCAGAGGTGACCCCGCAGTGTTACAGGGTGGGCGTCGACAGGACAGGCCTGGAGCCTCAGAGCCTGGCCGAGTCTGCGCTCTGCCGAGCAGGGAGAATCTGGGCACTGCAAAATCCTCGGCACCCCAGGTCCTCGGGAACTGGCAGGGAGCAGCCTGCCACTGACCCAGAGAGCGGTGACAAGGAATAAGTGACCAGTGCCCCGGCTCAGTCACTCGTAGCAACAGCGGCTCAAGCTTCCCCGGTGCTCACTAGTGGGATTCACACCCCAGCTGCGCAGCCCATGGCACAGCAACTGTCCTCCCCCCTTCTTCACAGCCAGGAAGAGGGGAACGCGCCCATGGCAACCAGCAGTGAGAGGATGAGCAGGCCCCAAACCCAACAAGACCGATCACATGTTCACAGCTTCATCGACGTGTTGCCTGGGCCCTGGCCAGCGACTGGTGCACCCGAGTCAGTGCGCGGGGCGCAGTGGGTCCCAGCACCTGCCCAGGTGCCCACTGCCCTGGTCACCTGATGCCCCCACCCTGTCCAGTGCTGCTCTGTCCTGGTTACCTAGCTCACCCACTCCCCCTCTGGCCCACAAGCTATGAGCTCCACAGCTTCCTGAGGCGCCATGGAGGTCCCCTTCCTGCCTGCAGCGTGCCAGGACGTCCCACAGGCTGGCAACGGCGGAATGTGGCTGCCGCCTGTCCCTCTGCTCTCACCCACTCTGCCAGCGGTCCAGGTGCCTGTGCTTCCTGCGCGTGGGTGCCTGGAGCCGGAAGGCCCACCCCAGGGCCAGAGAGAGCCCCACTGAACCCCCACCCATGGGCTGGCTTTCAGTAGCAAGCTTGGTTTCCACACACTGGGTGCCCTATCTGGACAGCCCTTGTTTACTGCCCTGTCGGCCCCTGCGTGAGGGTGGGGCCTGACCTGTGGGGGTCCCCAGCTACCCACACCTGGCCCAGGGCCTGGGCCCACACTATGGAGACACTGGGGCGGGGGATGCCTCAGCTCAGTCTGGGATGGAGGGTGCTGATCCTATACACAAGAGGGTCAGGAGTCAAAGCTCACCAGGGCCTGCATGTCATACATGGTGCTCAGGTGGTCCCAGATGACCTTGGATGGGACCTGCCGCCCTATGTTCTGACTGAACTTGTCCCGGATGCAAATCATGTGGAAGTGTCGGTTCACACCTGTAGGAGGTGGGCAGCAGGTGAGAGGAGAGGAGAGGGGCAGGGGCTGGCGAAGGAGGGAGCAGGTGTCCGTGGTTGGAGTGGCAGAGATCCACGAGGACGGGGATTGGGGGAGGAGGAAGACGGGGCGGGGACATGGCGGGAGGGGCACGGTGGAGAGGGTCCGCGCGTTGTCGGGGGTCCGTGCGTTGTGGGGGGGTCTGCGCGTTGTGGGGGTCCGCGCGTTGGGGAGGGGGGTCTGCGCGTTGGGGTGTCCGCGCGGTGGGAGGGGGCCACGCCGTGGGGGGGGGCCGTGGGGGAGGGGCCCCGCCCCGCCCCCCCGACGGTTACCCGGTCGCCCCACCCCCACGCGAGTCCGCGGCCTCCGGCGCGCTCACCGACGGGCTTGTGGCCCAGCATGGCGTGGAAGAGGCACACCTCCACTTCGGGACTCCACACCACTGTCTCCTCGGCCGGGCTGGTGGCCGCCTCTCCCGGGCCCTTGTCGCCCGCGGCGCCGCCGCCGCCCACCTCGGCCTCCCCCATGGCCGGCGGCCGA